AGGGACTCAGACTTATAAGTCATGTTATGCAGCTGAGGGACTCAGACTTATAAGTCATATATTATGTAGCTGAGGGACTCAGACTTATAAGTCATATATTATGTAGCTGAGGGACTCATAGACTTAAAAGATACTGAAGTGATGTTAATGGTCAACAAATCCAACTCTTCCCTCCTTGCAGGAAAAATGAAACCCAAAAAGTATGAATGACTTGCCTTCAGCTAGTTATTTCAGCAGCAGAGCTAAAGTTAGTGTTCAAGTCACTCATACCAGTAGTTTTCAACTGGAAGCCTCAAGGTGACATTTGGAGACATTTTTGTCACCTTGGGAGGGTACTACTGGCATCTGATGGGCAGATGCCAAGGACGCTGCTAAATGTCTTACAATGTACATGACAGCCCATCACAACAAAGAACTATCTGATATAAAATGTCAATAGTCCCAAGGTTGAGAAACCCTTAGAACTAGACTTTGCCAGATGTAGGTAATCAACACTACAATACAAGCATTCTGAGGATAACAGTGTTAAAACAGGTTATTTCCCTTTAGTCAAACATTCAGGCAAATTAAAGTATCCATTTTATTTGATTCCCTGTGCAAAAAATATGATAGGCAAAGAGACAGAATATACTTACCAGGAGCCAAAACCCAATGGTCTCCTATCATAATCTGGCAGATCTGGAGCAATCTTACAAGCTTGTATGTTCAGGTATTTAAATATGTGGACTTTGCCTTTTATACATATCTAAATAAAGTAACATAAATGTAGACAAATTATTACTCATCTGAAGTATGCTCCTTTTTATCATATCAACATTTTATGTAACGTACATTGGGAACAGGAGGCATTTCTATCAAGTACATACAGTAATATTAAAAAACGAATATTCTTATAACAAATTATATTATTTGGTTAAGTGTTATTTTAGGTGTTTAACTGGTAAATATAAGTTTTCATTTTCTAGTCACTAATAAATTTCAGTAATATATAAAATAAATAATTTTTGATGATACTGTTCAAATACCAAGTAAACTTATCACACTGATTAGTTTGCATAGTCAGAGATTTAAAGCATTTCTCCCCACTAGATTATGTGAAGCAAATTTTACTTTTAGGAATCCAACAATCATATACAATTATGTTTTTGATTTTGCTTTGAGAAAGAAGAGCAGGACATCATGAAATATTACATATATTTCTGTTACATGTATTTCTGTTGCTACTTGTTCCAGAAGTCAAAACACAAAGTCCTGAGGCTTATAAGACCCTTCTATTGTTAGGAAGTTTACTCATAAAGTTTTATAGTTGCCATAAAGAGTAGCACATGTGGCCGGGCGTAGTGGCTCACACCTGTAATCCTAGCACTTTGGGAGGCTGAGGCGGATGGATCACTTGAGGTCAGGAGTTCAAACAAGTCTGATCAACATGGTGAAACCCCGTCTCTACTAAAAATACAAAAAATTAGCTAGGTGTGGTGGCGGGGGACTGTAATCCCAGATACTCGGGAGGCTGAAGCAGGAGAATCACTAGAACCCAGGAGGTGGAGGCTGCAGTGAGCCGAGATCGCGCCATTGCACTCCAGCCTGGGCGACAAGAGTGAAACTTCATCTCAAAAAAA